ATTCAGTCGGTGCAGGTGGTACCGAGAGCTGCATACAGCATCCAGATCTCTTAATTAGCTATTTCCTTCATTGGACACAACACTGGGAGACTGTCTTGAGAGGTTAGTTCTAGGCATGGTGAGAAAGTGAGTGGCAGTCACACTGGTCCTCATTGTCCAGAGGAGCAGGAGAGGCTATGGGAGAAGGAGAGCTAATGACTCCTCACATAAGCTGTACATACAGTGTTTGGGGACCAGGAGAAGCCATGAGAACTTTGGTCCATGTTTTTTTATTCTTCTTTGTTCAGCACATAACTAGTATGTGCCATCTAGATGCCCAGCTTCCTGCTAAAAGGTAAGAAATGATTAGGGATTTGGACAAGTGAAGTAGAAGCTGGCACAATTAGAGACAGAGTGTGATGGTCTGTATCGTGGAGAGATATTGAAGAATTGTGTCTGATTAGAGTTCAGTTGCTGGGGCTTGGGACAGGTTAGGCCAGGGGAGAAAAGCAATCACCTTAAATCATCTCAGAATCAATAGTGAGATTTTTCATGTGGTTGCAGATATGTAATAATGAAGCCATTACCAGGCCTTGAGCAGGGGAGATTAGTGAATGTCACTTGTAGACTGGTTGGCAACAGTGTGGAGAGTCTACTGGACCTCGGCCAGAGTCCTAGTGTGAGTTGTCTGCAATGAGGTAAGAGGTCGTTGGGAACATAAGAGTTGCCCCAAATATCATTGAGTCCTGCTTCTCACTTGTCGCAAATGTGCTTCAGAAAGGATGCTGCAGTTAAAAGAAGGTCTCTCTCTTGAAGATCCAGGAAAACTATTTTTTCTCTGTTTCTTGAAGCAGACAGGATTTCTTTCTGGATAGTCCAAGACCATTTTCTTAACCAAAATCTGCCTTCAACTTGGCATCTCTTCAGCCAGAAACAAAACTATTATTCACTCTGGACTGCCTGAAAAGGGTTAGGAGAAATTAATGTAACTGAAGGAGACTGTACTTAATTAAAGGAGCTAATTGGTAAATTTCAATGGCTGCCTTGTTTTAGACAGGAGCACCTCTTCCCCCTTTCCTTTTCTAGTTATTTTTTTAAATGTAGTTTTCAAATTCTTTTAGTGTTGGGAAGTTTATCATATCTGGGTTTTACCTGGTCAATTTTTGTTTAATCGTCAGTAGATTCTAGTTCGAGCTGACTGCCTTTTGGGGATTGGCACACACATTGTGTCTTAGCGCCAAAGCATGTGGGTCATCGGATGGCTCTGGAGCAGTGAATGCAACCGTTGTGTGCCTCTGGATGACTGTGTGGAGTCTTGGCATTTCTGAGTAGCCAGGGAGTCACATGGGTGAGTTTCTCTCCATCTCCTGGCATGGCAGTTTAGAGTGTCCCTCTTCCACTCTTCCCCACAGCCTCCCTCAGCTGGACTTTCTCCATTCCACATGCACGTTTTCCCTGTTGACCTAACATCACACATTTTTTTGCTTAGCATTATTTTGTATGTGGATAGAGGCACGGTGGCAATGTGTGATGTCTATAGTTAAACAAATTAAAGCAAAAATGATTAAGGTATTTTAGGGAACATTTGCTACCTACCTATTTTTTACCTAGACACACCCAGACAGAAA